CACATTTACTAATTCTTTCAGAAAGTTCCAACTTATTACATTTTTTCTATCTTTAATAACCCCTTTACTAATTGCATTCCTCAAGCTTCAACATGTGACATGCATCATAAAAAATAAAATATGTTTAGATGTCAATAGGATACTTAAAATAGAACAATATGTTCAAATTGACTGTTTTAACTGTGCGCCTAGTATCTCGCATATTGCATATTAGAAGTTGCCCATCAATGTAATACTAACAACGAAATTGCTTTCATGGAGAATACTTAAATGTTATTTAACAAATTGGCTTTTCCTTACATTTAATGCCTCGATAACATTAAATGCAATTGGGATTTTAAATGATCATTATATGACACTAACATAAAAAGAAGATATGGGTAGCAAGGCAGATACAGACTTACTATCTTTATACCCGTTTCAATAAAATCGTGTAATTCTTTGCCGTCCCAATCAACTTTTTTTCTTAAATTCATTCATCAAAAGATATTGAAAACTAAGTGTTTTCCTTTCTCTCTAGCATTTTGCACCTTATCGAGTTTAGTTTTAAACGATTGTTCAGATATACCGAATTGCTACGAATTGTCTGCGTCACATGCGCAGTGTACTCGGTGAGTAAACTTTTTAAAAACATTTTTCTTACATACAAATATGCTGCAGGCGAATGAAAATGTAACGTGCATGCAAAACTTTTTAAACTTTCGGGAACGACTTTTTCGCTTCTTATTTAACATTGTAAGTAGCAACTGTTGCATAACAGGTGACAATATATCCTAAATAAAGAAAAAGGAAGTACAAAATATAGATGTAAAACAGAAGAAATCAAGGAGACAAATGGTTGTACGCATAACATATACATAATAACTTATTTAACGAAGATATAACATCATTAGTGCATTTGTAGATTTGTAGATTGAGAGGGTATATGTATACGCACAAACATTTGTTATATCATATTTTTAACATGATGTGAAATCAAGTATTGTTCTATCATTGCTCATTAGCATGGACCTTTCTATAAGAGTCAATATTATGATGAAGTCACATTGTGATTGGAGAGTTATCATGAACTTTTTATAAAAGAATAAACATTGTGGACAATGTGAATTTCAAATCTTTCTGCGAATGGAAAATAGCTAAACTCAACTTACTTTGACTGCATCTATACCATTATTTGTTATAAAGTTTTTACTTTTCAGGTCCTGAAGCAAATCTTTATAAGTTAAAACTTTCTTCTGCATACGGTTTTCTTTTGCCACATATTTTTGTTTCATTTCGAATATATGACACATATCTTACAAACTGCTCCCATTTTGCATCAGACACAAAATCTGTTTTACGGAAGCATTTTGTAGCATGTTTAGAAGTGTTTACAAATATTTTTTTAATTTTTGAGTTTCTAAAATTCTCTTGCACAATTTCCTGAAAATAAAATTTTGATAATTTATAATTTGTTGAATAAACTCGATAGGAAAAATTATTTAAATCTTTAGATATCTCACTTTTTTCTACTGTGATTATTACTGTGGTTGCTATGGATATTTATGTTATTAACATCTTCTGCTACATGTGTACGTATATCTGCATCTGTGTCCGTAATGGAATTCTTACTCGTATTTTGACTATAAAACAAAAAATATTCACATACATTAATGTTTATCTTATATATTACGATAACTTTATTTTCCCTTTTGGTGTATATCTTAGTGTATCTTTAGTGTTTCTACCTATTTCTTTTCATTGTCTATGTCATTATTTTCTGCTGTATTTGTATTTATATCTGTGCTTAAATTGGTATCTGTATCCTTCTCCACATGTTTACTACAAAATAAAATATTTCAATGTAATGGATCTATTGCATTTCCTGTAAGATTATTACATGTATGTTCTTATTATAATTTAACATTCTCACCAATTTTCTTCCACGAAAATTAATGGAACTGCAGTCTTTCTCAATATTTTATTTTTGTTTATATTCATTCATTTCATGATAGTCATTTTTTGTAAAGTGGTCACTGCATATTTTTACTCCTTTGTAAGATACATCACGCCAATAACGTGAAACCATTTTTTCGCATTTCTTCATTTTTTGGGATTCTGTAAATTTTTTACATATATATTTCACTTATATATATGTGTATATATATTATTAATTACGATATGTTTACATTCATATTGAATACAAATATATTTTTTAAATTACTTATGAAATGATCGTGGATAAAGAGGTTTTCTTCCACACCACAATACAGCACGCAGTAACTATTTTTTAAAATTTTATTCCTTGTTTTCTCCGTGAATATGTATATGCTATGGTGCGTCGACGGATTCGATTAACTGTAGTCAACAAAAACTTTTAGCAACACACCAGCACTGACACAACACTGACAGAATAATCAGTTTTTCTTAAATGAAAATGCGAAACGAATGTCCGAGGCATTAGAAGGAAAGTAAGAAATAAAGCTGCAGAGAAACGCGGACAGAGCAGTTAGAGAAGATCTTCCAATGTGATTCTAACCTTCACGCTACCCTTAATCCTGCTACGTCCGACATGCGCGTGTGATCGCAGGGAAATTAAGCGCGTAACAATACGTTGATACTAACTTTAAATAAATAAAGCAGAGCATCTCCTGAATCGTGCAGCAAATAAACTGGGAACGACGACACACCTCTTTTCAACCGCATACAGCTGTTTCACTACTCTTTTTCGCTCCCCACTCTTTCCCCACTCCTTTCCTTGTGTGAGAGAGAAAGATATATCGGCACCTATTGTCCGTCTCTTTCTACTTGATCTTCAAGTTTTGGCCCTCACACGCAGTCTATTCTTACTATGTCTATGGGTGTACCCATACCCTTCTCCTGCCGTTTGTTACGATGTAATCAATCGAAACCTCAAGGTTCCATTCATATACCATTTGTAACGCGCTTTCGTTTTACAGGAAAAGATAGTGCCCCAACCAATGAGCTTCAGGCTAATATTATATGCATCGTACGATAAACTCGTCGGACGTTCCAATTGGCTGGTAAAATAAAGAATTCTAAAGCGATGAGAGAAAAAATTGGAAAGTCATAGAAACTCGGCTAATCGGAACGTCCGACAAGCTTGTAATATAAAGGCTCGTCTACAATAGCTGTAAAGGCCCATCTACAATGGCTGTAAGAATAAGGGGGTCTATTCCCTGAAACGAGGACCCTGATATCGCATGCGATATCGCATACGATAGCAGAAATGATGGGTGTTTTCCAGCAACGGAACACAGTCATACACTGTTGACACAGTGTTTACACCAGAGAGAAGAATGAGAGCGGCCACCGGCCGCATTTCGGGGGATACGGCTAGACGCATTTTAGAGACGCCATCTGACCAAAATGCGCCTAAACTACGTCCGCTAGGCGCACTTTCACGGTGATAAAAGTAAAATGCGCCTAGGTTCGTGTCCGTACTACTTCCATGCAATGGATAGTAGATTAGAAAAAGACAGACGACAGACAATCGTTCCGTCTTTGTCTCACTACTGAGCGGCGCGCGGCAGTAAACACGAGGCGAGGTAGCGGCGATCTTATCGCTAAGCGAACATCTCTCCGCTTTTCTTTCATCTTTCACGCTCCAGAGACATCAAAAGACGCGGTAGCGTCTCGTGTCAAGGGAACGTGCGAAGCGAGGAATTATTTTTCACGCACGCGAGGTAGCACATGGGAGACTAGACGAGCGTCGACATATTATCTGTTTCTTTCCCGCTCGTCTAGCTTATTGACTGCGTGAGCCGCGAGATTTTTCTCGCTACTCCTATACCTCGCTCTTTCTCTCTCTCTCGCTCGTTCTTTCTCTCTCTCGCGCACTTGCTCGCTCTTCCTCTCTTCTCGTGTTCTTACGGCTTGATTAAATATATTAATTACATGACAATATATATATAAATAAATGACACATATATAGTGTATATGTATAAAAGAATATTTAGTATTAATGCACAAATAAAGAAGAGAGAATTATAATGAGAGACGAAAAGTTAATAGAAATCCACTCTTAGCCAATATATACATCTTTTAAAAATGATTTGTTATTAAAGTATATGACAGAATAATTTATTTATGCTAATAAATTTAAATTAAAAATTAAATGAAATGTTATTTGTTTTGTAAAAGATATTCCATTGTTACATTTTTCTTTTCGTAGCAAAAATAAATTTAGTCTAGTAAAAGAAGAAATTAGTTTTATTATCATATTTCAATTACGACTTTATTATTTAATTTTACGAATAGATAACGTGCATATTGTTGCTCAACGGAAACCGCGAGAAAATGGTGATCTCCGTCAAAAAATAAATGCAAACTTTTTAATAATATAATAATTTTTTTACGTAAGTGTTTGTTTTTATAGTATAACCTGTTGAATTTTATTAATTATTAATTCAGCATGTTATAGTACAAAAAATATTTTAATATAAAAATTAATGTAATATTAACTGTTTACATTTGCAAGAAATATGGATAGAACAGGATAGGTTGCAATGATACATAGGAAGAAAAAAGATAGATGGATAAATAGATAGATAGATAGATATAGAGATAGATATAGGTGGATAAATAGATAGACAGATAGATAAATAGATAGATGGATAGATAGATATAGAGAAATAGATAGATAGATAGTTAGATAGTATAGAAAAAAGATAAATAGAAATATAATTATCATTATTATTATTATTAATGTTTTCAGTTTCAAGAGAACATTCGCTTAAACGTAAGTCTTACTTAGGTCCAGTTACGAGTGTTAACACTCGTAAAGTCAGCCGAGTTTTAAACATCTCGTAGAAACAAGTGCTTCAACTCATCAATATAAATGTAGAGGAAAGTAACCGAAACAGCCAAAAACCTCCTACAGAAAGGAAGAGATTTGAGCATAAATTCATATTCAGTAGTTTCGAGACATTAAGTCAATTAGACATTCCATGTTAATGTAAGTTGCATATTAAATAATAATCATTCATTGTTAATCTCTTTTCTGCTTCGCATTTATTTTCGAGCTTTTGCATTATGTTTCAAATCAGCATGTTAATCTTTGACTTGCGAAAGGAATTGTTCAATTAACAATTGAAACTTAGAGAATGTAATGAAAGGCCATATATCATTGATAATTGATATGAGCAATTTCAATCGGTTCAATCGAAGAGCGTTCCGTTGTGTAGGTTACAATTGGTTATATAGATAATATTTATAATCGTAACATCGTGAAAGATGCCGATGATTGAAAAACGCTAAGATTTAGTTTCATAATTTATTTTAACCGGAGTTTAAGACTTATTGAGACAAACTTGCATAGTCATATTATTCATATGCATAACTGAAGTAGAACAAATAATTATATAAAAGTGAAGATGATGTCAAACTTAAGTTAAAATAATTTTGACGTTATCTTGACCTTTGATGATTATTTGTTCTAGAGAAAGAAACAGATTAATTAAATGTAAAATATGTCTAATATAAAAGGCACGCTTGTACGGATTATGATTGGTTGATTTCCTTGTGCACATCAATGATGCGATTATGTAATTTTGTTGAGATAGGCTTTTAAAGAGTTGTCTTATTGAACCCGACAAAAAATACGTATATTTCGTTAATTTTTTTTGCGGAAGCGAAAAAGATCACATGATTAAAAGATTACGGGTTTTGAGAGTTTGCTTAATGATGTTTGAAGAATATATATACATTTTTCTACAAGTATGTAAGTTTAAAAATATATAAAATATTGCAGTAAAAGCAAAGAGGTTGCAAATAGACGATTCCAAGGAATTTCTAAATGTGTGTGATTTAATTTTACACAATTATTTAAAGTAGCTTTTTATTTTCTATAAGTATAGCTATCGTCTGAACTACAATCGGAACACAAATAATAACATGGTAGCATTTAGAACAAAAATCGTCTATTTCTGGCCTCTCGGTAAAGTTTAATAAAAAATATTAATTATTAATGAATTTGGTTAATTGTAGTTAAAACGGTAAAGAGAAGTCTATTTTATAATGCTGCCAAGTTGCAAGTCGATTGGTCAAATAGTTATTGAGATATCGTGCGTACCGTGGAACCTCCTTGCTTTCACTGCAATATTTTTCATATTTTTAATCTTATATGTAGAAATTTATATACATTCTTTACAAACATCACATTAAACAAACCCTCAAAACAAAAATCCTGTACTCTTAAAGAAACAGGATATTAATCTAAAAAATAGAAACGATCAGAAATAACCGCTCGGTACTTCTAATATTAACGAATTATATTCCGGTTAAAATAATATAAATCGTATAATATATTCCGGTTAATGTAATATAAGTCGTATAATATATTCCGGTTAATATAATATAAGTCGTGAAACTGGACCTAAGTAAGACTTACGTTTAAGCGAATGTTCT